TTTTTTGGTTGCAGCCATCATTGTTGTTTTGGAGGGCCCAGGCTGGATTCGAACCTGCCACCTTAAGTGTATGTGGCTGGCGCCTTAGCCGCTTGAGCCACAGGCACCGAGCCATGGGGAAAGTTTTAAAGTAAATATGGGAAGTGTTCAATTGGGCACCTATGTCAAAGGAGGGTGGCTGTGGCTTCCCTCCACTTGAGGGCTGCGTGGCCAGGGAGGGGCAGTGAAGCTCCAGCCAGTGGTCTGTTGGCTGGTCAGTCTCTCGTAAACTTGGCCATGAGTACCATGCCCGTCTGTGGTGTGTTGCTCACTGCCCCGGCTTGGTCACTGGGGGAAGGGATGCTCACAGGGTGGCTAGGCCTGGGAGCTTCAAGGGGGACTGGCCAGGCGAAGGAGGAACCCTGGTTGGCACATGCTAAAGAGGCAGGGTGGGTTTTATTGAGTGACAGACTGTTTTTCTTTTCTTTTTTTTTTTTTTTTGAGACAAAGTCTCACTTTATCACCCTCAGTAGACTGCTGTGGCATCACAGCTCACAGCAACTTCAAACTCTTGGGCTCAAGCCATTTTCCTGCCTCAGCCTCCTGAGTAGCTGGGACTACAGGTGCCTCCATCATGCCTGGCTATTCTTAGTCTTGCTCTAGCTCTGGCTGGTTTTGAACTCCTCAGCTAAGGCAATCCACGTGCCTCAGCCTCCCAGAGTGCTAGGATTATAGGTGTGAGTCACCATGCCTGACCCTAGATTTCTATTTTTTATTTTCTTGTGTTTTTTGGAGACAGAGTCTTACTTTGTTGCCCTGGGTAGAGTGCTGTGGTGTCATAGCTCACAGCAACCTCAAACTCCTGGGCTCAAGTGATCCTCTTGCTCCAGCCTCCCGAGTAACTGGGACTACAGGTGCCCACCACAATGCCTCACTAGTTTCTCTATTTTTAGCAGAGACAAGGTCTCTCTCTTTCTCAGGCTGGTCTGAATTCCTGAGCTGAAGGGATCCACCTGCCTTGGCCTCCCAAAGTGCTGGGATCCCAGTCATGAGCCATTGCACCCAGCCTGGTAATAGACTTTTGCGACAGGGAGGAGGGTCCAGCAAGAACCTGACTCAGCTTTGCTGAGACAAAAGGCAAGAGATGTCTCCAAGGCCTTGTCTGCTAGGTGTGAAGGAAGCTGGTCCATATGGGTGTGCAAATTGGCTGCAACCAGAATTGGAGTTGACTCCTGTGTCATCTTTATGATGGGGCACATGTAGGTTAGAGAGAGGCCCCCTAATGTCAGGGCCTTGCCCCTTTAGGGACTGAGAGAGCAGAGGCCTCTCCCTGTATGTCTTTGTTCAAGCACAGTCCCAGGTTCTTAGACAGCTCTGGGTGTGGGTATGCATCTGGAAGGGCGGAGAAAGGATTTGTGGTTGCAAGCTTGCCAAAGGGCCTGCTACAAGGGGGCCGGGCCCTCTGCCATCACCAGCTTTGGGGTGGAATTAACAGTAAATTCCCAGTGGTGCTGAGCTCTCTGAGGCAGGTGCTCAGGGCTGGGCTTATCACAGAGGTGTGGCCTCGAGTTCTTAGAAACTACATCAGAGTTCTTTCAAATCTCTTGGCTAGGGAAACGAATGGGGGTGGACAAAATCCTTTTTGCTGGCTTGGCACCTGTGGCTCAAGTGGCTAAGGCGCCAGCCACATACAGGTTCGAATCCAGCCTGGGCCTGCCAAAACAACAATGACAGCTGCAACCAAGAAATAGCTAGGCATTGTGGCAGGTGCCTGTGGTCCCAGCTACTTGGGAGGCTGAGGCAGGAGACTCGCTTGAGCCCAGGCATTGAAGGTTGCTGTGAGCTGTGATGCCACGGCACTCTACCCAGGGGGACAGCTTGAGGCTCTGTCTCAAAAAAAAAAAAAATCCTTTTTGCTGGAAGTCTTATGTTTTTATAGGCCAGTGCTAAGGTCTAGTCTAGAAGAGGGTTTAGAGGAGCCTGACAGGCTGGTCAGTAGCCAACTTTGAGTTAAGACTGGGGTCAGCTCCTTCTCATAAGGGACAGACAGTGAGTATTCTTGTCTTTGTTGCAGCTTCTGACTCTGACAGGAGAGGGGCAGGCAGCACCCTGTCCCGACAAAGTTCATTACAAGTGTAGGCCTGGGCTATATGGGGCTCTGACCTAAGCAGGAACTCAGGATGTTTGAAAATATTTGAAAATCTAACATAAATTATAAATTGGCATCTTGGGTGGAATTTCAAAGACAAAATTCTCCAGGTACTATCTCAGCCACTTTGATCAACATTTATTGTATTTGGTGGCTGACTTTTCTGCGTGTCACATGTATGACATGAACAGGTTTATGCCCTAATGTGTGTCTTAATATAATAATTACAGATACTTTGTTGCCACTGTATTCCTTTTAGGGAATGTAATCATTCCTTTTTCAGGCTGAATAATTACAAAAAGTCCTGGCTGTATAGAATGGGGTCCCTGCTTGTGATAGGACACCTAGTAGCGAATGCCACCTATGCGGCCGCGTCCCTCTGTGTGTCCCATTCCAACTATCCTGGAGGTGTTGCGATGCGGAGACTGCATGAGCTGGTGCCCCCCTGGACAGGTCAGTGCTGGGGACGCTGCCCAGGGGCCAGCCACGGCTCTGACAGAGGCACCACTCAGGGTTCTGACCAAGCAGGTGTGGTTTCCTAGATGTCTTTCTGCACATTGATGCTGCTGCTGCCCAGACAGGCGTGTCTCGGTTTTTACAAGTCAACAGTGCCTGGAGGTATGTTTCCAGTCCACATGGCTATAGTGGGCATTGTTCCTCTCGAAACCATGTACCAGTCCCCTTAGGGGCACCCAAGTGCTGGGGATGGCATGTGGGGTGATGCGGGACAGGCTGGCTCTTCTACAGGTACGACAAGAGGGAGGACGTGCAGCCTGGGGCTGTAGGCATGCTGGCCTATACCCACATCCTCATGGAGGCTGTCCCCAGGCACCTGGCCCTCTACAGGGATACACATCGGGTCCTGGCCAGCATCGTGGGCACCACAGGTGTGAGTCTGAACCTGACCAAACTGCCTCCCTTTGACATCGACCTGGAGACAAAGCTGGTACTTCTGGAAAGACTCCTCAGACCATCCTGAGGAGGAACTGGGACAGACCTCCAGCAACCAAAATCCCTCCAAGAACCTGTGCCAATTCTCAACTAGGACAGTATGAAGAACAAAGAGGAGAACCACAAACATGCCCCTGACAGCCCTGATTGGCCCCTGACAGGGCAGGACTGGGCCCCCATGCACAGCCACACCAGGCTCACAGTGGCAGTGAGGGCCCAGGTGACAGTGTCCTGCTCAGACCTCCTGTTGCCAGGGTGGGTGACAAGATAATTTATCATCCAGACTGGGCATCATTCATAATCATCAGGGGCCAACAGGCCAGCCTGGGATACCCTGGACACATGGCCCTTGCCATGTCTTTCCTCCCACGTGGAGCCACATTTTGGCAGCACAACACCCCTGATGCCTGCCAGGCTCGTAGTGTGCCTGAGGCAGCACCTGCTGTCACAGAGCCTACCTGTAAAGTGGGGCCTCAGCACTGCGGACAGTGCCCCCCACCCACCCACTGCCACTGCGACTTCTGTATTCACAGAAGGTAGGTTAGAGGGAGGCCCTCTGATGTCAGGCCCTCGCGCCTGTGGGGACTGAGAGCAGAGGCCTCTCCCTGTGTGTCTGTGTTCAAGCACAGTCCCAGGTCCTCAGGCAGCTCTGGGTGTGGGCATATCTCCATCTCAGAGTAAATTGTAGATGAATGTGTTCAGAAAGGAATGAAGAAAAAAACTAAGTCAATAAAATGTTAATTAGAACCTCAAAAAAAAATGAAAATAAAATCTTGTACATGTTTTCTTTTGCATAACCTTATGAGCTATTACTCATGATTACTTCTAGAGATTGCCTTTACCCAGGTGCTGTTGTTAAGAGACAGTTTGGTGCTGTCACACTTTACTGGACACGCATTGGTAAAGCACCTAAAGAATGTGTAGCACTGCTAAGCACTAGAGACAGCAGAGGACGGGTATCTCTGTACATGAGTGCACACACACGCTCAAAGACAGGCTTTTGGTGGGTGTAGAGGTATGTGTCCATTGTCCCAGTCCCAGCTACTCAGGAGACTGATGCGGGAGAATTGCTTGAGCCAGGAGTTCAAGGCTGCTGTGAGCTGTGATCGCATCTGTGAATGGCCACTGGCCTCCAGCCTGGGTAACAGAGCAAGACTCCGTCTGAGCTTTTTGCGAATAGGTTGCTTGTGAATCCCTCTATGCCTGAGGGTTGCCCAGCAGCTCCCTGACCCAGTGCTGCTGCTTCTCCCTTGGCAACTGATAAACATATGTGCACAGACCCCTCCAACTAGGAGAATCTCCTCCAGATCTCCTGAACGTGGCACTGCCTGACTGGTCTTGCTGAGACTGGCCTTCGTGGTAGAGGACAGACTGCGATGCCAGCATGCAGTCCATATCCGGCAGCCAGCATTCGGCACCCTGTCAGAGTGACTGCCTCCTTCCCCGTTGCCTCTGTTTGTCAGTAGTGTTACCCACCCAAATTCACATATTCTCTATTCTTACCTTCCTGTGGATGGCTGCCTCAGTAGAGTGTGAGTCATTCCCCCCCCTTTTTTTTTGACACACAGTCTCACTCTGTCGCCCTGGGTAGATTGCTGTGGCATCATAGCTCACAGCAGCCTCAAACTCCTGGGCTCAAGCAATCCTCTTGTCTCAAGCCTCCCTACTCAAGTAGCTAGGACTACAGGTGCCTGCCACAATGCCTGGCTATTTTTAGAGATGGGCTCTCACTCTTGCTCAGGTTGGTTGCTTACTCATGAGCTCAGTTGAACTCATGAGCTTAGGTAGTCCACCCCCTGCGGCCTCCCAGAGTGCTGGGAATACAGGTGTGAGCCACTGTGCCTGATCCTTGATGTTCAGCTTGTACAAGACCTGCCTAGTGGAAACCCTGTCAGGCTGCTCTGTTCTTGCAGTTTGCCCTCTTGGATCACTTTCTTCTAGGCACAATGAGATGTCCTCTTGAGCCTCTGGAACCAGTTGTTTCTCTGAAGGGTTTTGGCTCCTTTTGGGGAGGAATGGTTTTAGAAGCCAAGATCTAGGCACTAGGTGTGCTCACTGCTATTGGGAGTGTCCGTGCTTTTAGGCCCTTTCTGGGGACAGAGTGCATGGGCATGGGCATGCCCATGTGCACATGCACACATTCACGTGCATCCCTGAGAAGTCACAGAGCCACACCTACAGCACAACTCCATCCCATCTCCACAGCGTTCTTTTTGGCTCCCTTTATTCGACATCTATGTGTCCAGTCTTCCACAGTGAGAACTCTGGATCCCAACAGTATCTGTGTGTTTACTGGCCCGGTGCAGTGGTTAATGCCTGTAATCCTAGCACTCTGGGAGGCCTAGGTGGGAGGATCACTCTGAGGCCAGGAGTTTAAGTCCAGCCTGAGCCAGAGTGAGACTCCATCTCTACTAACCATAGGAAAATAAGCCAGGAATTGTGGTGTCTGTAGTCCCATCTATTCAGGAGGCTGAGGCAGGAGGATGGCTTGAGCCCAGGAGTTTGAGGTTGCTGTGAGCTGGGCTGAGTGAGGCCACTATAGTCTAGCCTGGGTGACAGATCAAGACTCTGTCTCAAAAGTATATGTACACATACTTGTTCAATAATAAGGTACACATTAAATAGTTTAAGAAATGCTTTGCCACATGATTGCAAAAATAAATTTGCTGTAGAGGTTGTAATTTGTTTGTGGTTCTTCACTCCCCTGCTCATGACTGGAAGTATCATCAAATATACTAATAAATCCCTGGAATCAGTTCTCCCATCCCCACTTTCAGTGTGGTGGTTTTTCACTCTAAATACAGTTGAGTTTATTCTTCCCGTTTGCTTTCAGACTTATAACCCCCTCACAACTTCCTATCCTTTGAAATTTGTAGAATATGAGCATTGTGGTAATGGCTACAATTGTCAAAATTCATAAAACCGTATGCTGGAGATGGGTCACTTTATGACATTTTATATCTCAATAAAGTAGGTTTTTAAAAAATTGGCTTGTATAGGTGAGGATCTGATTCAGGACTCTATTCTGTCCATGGATCCACTTGCCTTTATACCATTATCACACTGTGTTGATTACGAGTGCTCAGAAGTCCTGAGGTCAGGTGGGAGAAGTCTCCAACATGATTTTTGCCTTTCAGATAAGGTCAGACACATTCAGGCCATAGACTATTCTTCCTTTTCAAAGTTGGTCTGACTTTTTATATCCTTTGCATTTCCCTATGATTTCTAGAATCAGTTGGTCAGTCAGTTGTGATGACATTGATTTACAGATTAATTTCAGAAGCTTCAGTATTTTAATAATATTGAGTCTTCTGATCCATAAACATAGTATTTCTCTCCATTTACTTGGGTCTTTTTAAATTTCTCTAGAGGCAGTGATTTTCAACAGGTGTGTCACTTGAGGCCAGGGCCAGTTTCTTACTGTTTTGGGAAACAACCTACATACCCTTATCAGAAGCCGAGAATGAATGTTCAAGGTCCTGGTTTGGGTTCAAGCCTGCAGAAAAAACCTGCAGCTCGCTGGTCAGTGGTCAAGGCACCCTGTGATTTTGGTCAGGACACAGAGATAAAGAGGGGAAATCTGGAGGACGCTGCAGTTACAGATCTTGCCTATCTTTTGTCAGATTTACTATAAATGTGTCATACTTTTGATATTGTTGTAAATGGTATTTTAAAACATCAATTTCTGGCTCAGCACTCGCAGCACAGTGGTGAAGGCATCAGCCACATACACCGAGGGTGATGAGTTCGAACACAGCCCGGTACAGCTAAACAACAATGGCAACTGCAACAAAAAATAGCCAGGCG